TGTTTCGTTGTCTTCTTGTGTCCAACATATATTAGAGGAAGAAAAAAATCATATTAATGGACTACTAGACATAATAAGTTGAATTTATTTGAAAAGAAAAAAAAAAGAAGAAGTAGTTATTTTGTAGTGATATGATTGAATAAGTGAAAACAAAAATTCATACGATTTGTTGTCATTTTTTTTGTACTACAAATCTTTGAACCATTTGTGGAATTCATAATGAGCAATAGATATAGTAACTTGTGTTTTCCATTTGAAGGTGAACCAGAAAGTAAAGGGAAGACAAAGAAAAACAAGGTCCTAAGTTAATCATTATTTTATTTTCAAGTAAATAAATCAATTGAGCCAAAACATTGAGAAATAGTACTCTGTTTATTGAGTTGGTTCAAATAACTATTGATCAGTGTAGGGTATGTGAAGATAAACTCTTTATACATTTAAAAATATATTTGTTTATTTTAAAATTTATTAGACTTTAATTAATATTATTTTCATGTTGAAAAAATGTGACGCATAAATTAAAATAACCCCGAAATCAACTGGAATACATTGGACTTTAAAGGCTTGGTCTGTAAAGAGGTCCACGGGCCCTTATAAATCAAAGTGCATGAATTATATGTAGAGAAAATAATATTTGTGAATTATATTTTGGTAATTGCTAATATTTCATGTGAAATAAAATGAGTTATTATCAAAAACAAAAATGATGATGGTGGGGAATTGAATAATTGTCACTTTACTTCACATGCCAAGTGAAAAGCGCATTAAAAATTTAAAATGACGTGGCTTAAGACCTATACAATAAATTTTTTGGGACCTATTATGCCCCCACTTTATCTTTGTCCTTAATTTACTCCATTTATCTAATTTCATTTTCTTGAAATATGGTGGGAAATTAATAACTAGATAATATGAATTTATAAATAGAAGTCCACGTATTTCAGATTTCATGAAAATTAATAGGATGCTTTAAAATAATACGATGGTCCTTACTGATTATTCAATCATACTTTTTCATCATATATCATATTATATAGTATAATATAGAAATAAATGTGATATTTCATTACACTACATCTACACAATTTTGTTAAAAATATACGACGAGAAATTCATTTAACGACTGGATTGTATCATACAATAATTTGTAAAAAATTTTATATACATAATATTAAAACAAAATTTGAAGTGGTGCTATACATTTTCCTAATATATTTTTTGCACGATAACAATTTGAAATAACATGAAATTGCAAATTATTCAATATATGTTGACTAACTTTTTTTTTTTCTAAATCATGTACGGATGTTAATTTTGGACTATCTAACTTGTCGATGTGATAATTAGCAATTACAACACCTATCACCTGTGATAGCATATTTTTAACTTTTAGTTATTTATAATTTCATTGTTAATTATTTCATATCAAAGGGACTAATGAGCAAATGTAAAACAGAAAAATACGATGAGATTGACATTTATTAAAATTTCCATACGGTCAAACGAAGATTAAAATGCATTGTACGAAATCGACTTTCCAAAATCAAAAACTAAAAAATCATTTGACTAATTTTGTGGGCGACCGATTTAGATTGAGTTGATAAATGATTGTCTCAAAAAGACACGATAAGAAAAGTGAAAATTGAACAAAAATAAATTGAAGGCTTTTTAGTTCACAGTTTTCTACATAATGCAGAAAAACAATCCGACTTTCTTACTTGTAAAAGAAAAAAAAAAAATCTAAGAAATGATAAAGATAAAGTAGTCTATATATTAAAATTGTCCTCATATATTATCACAAAGCATTTGTTAACTAGATAAGAAGACAATGTAAACAAAATACACTTTACAGCATAAAAATACATTTTTATTAACAAAATGTGACAAGGATTCGCTAACTATTAACAAATTTTGTAGAATCTTGCGAAAAAGTAAGCAACATAAGATGATTTATAATTTATTTAATTAATTTACAAGTTTATTGTATTTAAATAAATTTGATTTAGTATGATAAATTATGTTAAAAGGCTCACACTTATCTCGCAAGTATATGCAGATAGTTTCTCGATAAAAGTCATTGTTTTATTTATTTTTGACTTATCACCTAATTTTATCAAATATTTTATTTTATATTATTAATTTTTCAGTTATCAACCATTAAAATAAATCAATAAGCACGTAATTAATTTATAATTAAGCTATCATTTAATTTATTACTATCACCTAGTTTTTCAACTAGATTACCAAACATACACAAGCTCTTCATCTAAATTTACCAAATATAGTTAAAATATGTTAACTCTTCGTCTAGATTTATAGTATGTTTTGCTTAGCATTATAAATCAGCTTATAATTTATTTATGAGTTTATAGATTTATTGTATTCAAATAACTTTATTTGATAGAATGAACTTTCTAAAAAAACTTAAACTAATCCCATAAGTTTAAGAAAAAAAAAAAACGTTGAAATTTTATTTTTACCGATTTATCAGCTAGATTTTCATCCCACAGACCATAACCATTCAAACTTCAAAGCTGCTTTAATTCAAACGCCGCCGTTTTGTGCTATCCTCTCCACTGACCTTTCTGCTGACACTCATCAATAGACCCATTCGCTGCCCATTCCCCTTTTCTTTCCAGTTTTGGCTCTTTCATGAATCTTCTTTTTTTCTGTATAAATGGATTCATTGTATCATCAATTTGAAAATTCGGTCTTTGTCTTCTCTTTTGTTTCCTCTCATTCTTCTTTTTTCTTATTTTTGTGCTTTTCTCCCATGAATGTTCGGTCCAGACAATGACATATCCTCTATTGGAGCTTTTGCTTTATCATCAAAAGTTTTTGTTTTCTTCAGATTTCCAGAATCAAAGCATAACATTTTTCCCCAGAAATTTTCACGGGGTTTTAGATATTTATGAATCATAAAACCCCACTGCTGAAAAACCTCATCTTGGGTTCGCTTCAAATATATAAAAATTCTCGTTCTTGATTGAAGCTCATGTAGATTTTTTTTTCTCAGACGCCGTATTTTCGATAATCTCCCTTTTGGGGCTTCGTGTTCCGAAAATTTCCTCTCGAAATTAGCGATAAAAATCCAATCTTTACAGATTCTGATCCGAAGAAAAAAGAGAGAAAAAAAAAATTGAAAATGGCGGACTCGCCGGAGAGATTCGGGGACACGGGCATTATCGAGCTCACGGGGAAGATAATGGTGGTCGCAATCGTCCTCCTCCTCTTCATCGTCCTCTTCGTCTTCTTCCTCCACCTCTACGCCAAGCATTTCTGGTACCGCCGCCACGAAAACCCCAGCTCCGCCGCCCCCGACCCCCTCCACCGCCGCCGCCGCCGCCGCGCCTCCGGCCACCAGGATCTGGCCGTCCCCCGCCGCGGCCTCGACCCATCTGTCCTCAAAACCCTACCCATCATCACATTCGACCCGAAATCATTCGAAAACGGGCTCGAATGCGCGATTTGCCTGTCCGAAATCTCCCTAGGCGAAAAAACGAGGTTCTTGCCAAAATGCAGCCATGGATTTCACCTCGAATGCATTGGCATGTGGTTCGAGTCCCATTCCACGTGTCCTCTGTGTCGAAAACCCGTCGATGATAATAACCCTAACCGGTTAGAATCGAGCCTTGACCCGCCATTGGATTCCGTCACAATTCAAATCCCGCCACTCGAGAATTTAAATAATAGTTTTCCTACCGAGGCACCGAATTTCCCGACTAATGTGTTGATTTGGGGAGACGAGACTCGAGTCACCACGTTCGGTTCTTCTTCGGTTGAGGAGAATAATCGTAACAATATTGTTGTTGAGCAATCATTGGTAGGGTCCACAAGTGGCTCGCATGATGTGATATCGACGGTTGAGATTGCACGTGGGTTGAATGAGGATGACGAACAAAAGCCTTCAAATTCAATGCCAACGGGACTTAGATCGATAAAGAGGCTTTTGAGTTATAGTAATAATAATAGAAAGGTTAATCCTTCTAGTTCGAGAGATTCGGATTTTTCGAGCTAGTTGGTTTGATCGATAGAGGTTCAAAGTCGATTACTTTGCATTTGTGGCGTTTGATCGATAGAGGTCCAAAAGTTGAATACTTTGGCATTGTGGCTTTTTGTTCAAAAATAGGTTGTTTTGATTATTCGGATTGTGGCGTTTGATCGATATAGGTACAAAGTTGATTACTTTGATGTTGTGGAGTTTGGTTGAAAATCGGGTTGTTTGATTCTTCTTGGATGAGGCTAATTTCGTACCAGAGTTCCTTTAAAGTTATCGATGAAGATGAATTTGTGAGTATATGTTTGTTTTAAATATAGGGTTTGCTGCTTCTCTGTTTGAGGTAAGGAAGTAACTTTTTCCATGTTCTCTCACAGAGTTTTTTGGATTGAAAATTTTGGCCCGAGTTATGCCTGGAGAGTAGCTATTATGCATTGTAGATGAGCTATTGAAATATTTATATTATAATATCTGATATTTCCCCTGTTTTGATATCTGAAGCATATTCCATTACCAAAATATCTAATATGAAAAGTTTAATTTCAAATTTGAACCACTGTACAAACTACAAACCATGTTCCCCCATGCAAGTGTGCAAGTAAAACTGAACACTGTTTCAACTGATGTGTCACTATAAAAGAGGCTCGATTATTTTGGCTCTTATAACTTGGTTTCATTTCATCCAAAGATTTAAATCCATTTATATCTCAGCTAAACAAAATTGAACCAAAAAACATTGTATATAACAATTGTTAGTAGATAAAATATCCCAAAACATTTCCCTTTACTTGATATTTAAAGTGGCATTTCAGGTGGCAGACATAAAGAGCATCGAATCGGGGCATACAGATTTGGACATTTCATGCGTTTTGACTCATAATTCACCTATCTCTACAAACACATTATAGCTCCCTAATTTATGGTTAAGCTGAGATTTAAAATGAAGCATAATTTAGGGGCATTGTTCCTCCTATCCCACATTTTGCCCCCACAACAAGCAAAAATTTTAAATTGACCAGAGAAAATGGGTGCAACATGATTTCATAAGCAATCATTTAGTTTGGACAAAAAGCACTTTCTATGATAATGAATGGAAGGGATTAATCAAGGTGTTTCACTTCAGGATAATCAATTCATCCAATGAAATAAAACATCGCAAGTCGCAACTCAGTTTATCGACCCCGAACAAATATAAACAAGTGGCATAATCCATCACATGAATCAACAACACACAAGGAATCCACGAGTTCGACTAATCAAGAAAAAAAATATAACGCAAATGGTGCAAATTGGGGCATCAAGCAGAATCCCTTCATCAGGCACCACCACTATACAGAAATGCCTTACGGTGTATACGACCATTCAATCTAAGAGCACAAAAGGAAACTTCAATAAAGTACAATATAATATGATCCCACCATCATAAGATGCTAATTGTAACATCTACTCAAAATTTAAAAATTCGAGTTTCACACCTTTTTTTTTTCCCGGGTCATGTATTAAAGATGGAGCAAAGGCAAGGCCATCATGGCCGCAAAAATCGAAACAAGCAATAAGAGCAGCCATGTAGGGATGGATCTCCTCCTCTGTTGCAGGAGTTGATTGTTATTCAACTCTTTCGGGAGTTGGTCGTTTACTGGCTCTTCAGCGGGCCCACGTCTCGTCAGAGTGGAATTCTTGTCTTGGGCGGATTGTTTTTCTGCCTGATTTGCAGGTTGCTCGGCTGCTAGCTGCTCTTCGTATTTCTCTACGTATTCGGGAAATAGTTTCCGAAAGGTTGCACTATTTCGAGGAAAGGAAAAGAACATTAAACAAAACAGAAGGAACTCTAAATGCTTGGATATAAGATTTTTTTGGTTTTGTTTGGACATAAGGTTTTGTTTGGTTAATTTTGAAAAAATGTGGTATGGTTAGTTGTTAAGTGAGATTTTGAGTTTATATTAAAATAATATTTGAAATAAATAATTAAAGTTGATTTGATATAAAAGTAGAAGAGAGATAATGTGGAAGTGATGTTGAGTTAGAATTATGTGAGTGGATGAATACTTGAATAGTGAATTAAATTTGATGTGATGCGTAAGAATGATTAATTGGTTTATTGATATTAATAATGTTGATATTGATAATATACATTACACCATAAAATAATTGTTCCAATTTCACGTAGTGTATGTTTGAGCTATGAAACTTCACCGAAACAGGTAAGTTACAAACCATGTGAAAATCTACTCTTGCGAAGATCATGGATAGATTCGGTTTAGGAACTTACTTTTTACAATTAAAAGCCAGAGAAGCCTTTGCAAGCATCCGTTTTTCTTCATCAGTAGTTGAGACGCTGCCTGTGGTGGGACTATTGTCCAGCTGTAACGCAACACGCCAGGACCATTGGGTTGTTAATAGTTAAGTTTTTCATAAAAACTTTACGCTATATTTTGGAATGGGGAAACTATGTCCAATACGCATATGAAGTAGTCGGATGCCAAATGGAAAGAAAAAATTCAAACAAAAAATAAAATAAAATTATCTTCTAAAATTTAGCATGACACTCACCATGAATGAAAGGAGCCCAGTTAGTATGCTGCACCGTAACAGAGAATTAGCATATACAACTTAGATTGATAATAATAATAATGAGAGAAGAAACAAATTTTTCCCAATCAGAAAACCCCTTACCTTGAGACGCCCCACATAGGGTTCCAACTCTCAGGATGAACTGGAAATGAGATCACATGAGTAGCGTGGCACGTTGAAAAGTATTCAGCCAATACAAAATATAGATAACATGTAAAACCATCTGACTTACAATCACTCATAGACAGGCATATCTTCTTTTGTGTCATAAAGCGTCCATTTGGAGTCGTCATACTATGAAAGGATACAAAACAAGAGTTTTGAGTATGTCGCAATCCCAAAACAATAAACCCCCTGTTAGTTTTAAATGTCACTTTAGACGAAATTGAGATACCTGATTCCTGGAGGTTTGAAAGGGTATTCTGGAGGAAACTTTATCTTTCCATAGTAATATCCACCTGCAGTGGTAAAAAAAGTAAAATGAAATGAGAATGAGAATAATATTCAGTAAACTTGGAAACAAATCAAGAGGTTAAACCCAACGTTGTCAAGTGAAACACAGTTTAACGAGAAAGAAAAATGATTGGTACCTGCAAAAGCAGTTCCTTGACTTCCCTCCAACACATAATCTGAACAGAAATAACGTAAAGGATGGTACTATTAGCAGATGAAGAAACAATCATTTGCTCTTACTTTCTTTAAAGAAAAATGTCGCTATCATCAGTCAACAGGGTTCACTATTAGAAGTCTCCAGAAATTTAATTTAATAGGTTACACGTATTTAACTTCTTCATTGGAAGTGATAGATCCAAGGTGTATGAATGTACATTTGCGACCCAACTAGACAGAAGAAAGTACGGCATTTGTTCTTATATGAATCAATCAATTCAATATCCAGATGTACATATCTCCATATTACATTGGTTATCGGAACACGAAGGGAAAACAATTTGATTGCATCAAGCAAAGGAAAATGCTGTAAAACAAATTAATTATTTGAAAAAGAGAAACTTACGCCAATCAAGAATGTCGTTCGGCAGAGGGCGTGCGACCACATTGGAAACTGGTTCCTAAATTTAATAATAATAAAAAAAAAAAAGATAACCAGTAAAAATACACGTGAGCAGGATTGCACAGATCCACAATAAAACAACTGCAGAAAAAGTAGTTTAAAGAATCCAGCTCAATGTTTAAGGAAATATTAACCCCATTCAAGAAATTTCATAAATTAGAGCATCCTTTAATAATGAAATGTTCAAACAATAAAAAATGTGGAATGAAATAAGAAAATAATACCTATCCTTGATAGAAAGATATTCCAATACTTTAATTAAAATTGCAAATGAGCTCTACCAGGAGAAATAAGAATCAATATTACACATCGTCTTTCTACAGATTCAGAACTAAACTAAAAGGCAACTTACTTTACATAGTGCTCGATACTCCTTTTGGAGGCGCTTCACACAAGCTTTTTCAGCCATTTCTTTTTTGTTATACCAACAATCGGAAAGGAAGACTTCTCTTACCCACTAACTCAAATACAATGTTCCCTGCAACATGGTCAACACGAAACTCTACGCAGTACGCACGAGATACACAATCACTTTCACGATATTTAATCTTTTCTTGTAAGGAAAATTACAAACTAGGCACATTGGAGAGTGCATCATGCACTCCTTAGTGGGTTGAAGCATTTGATTATCAAATCACATCTGCAACTACGCCATTACTCATTTGTTTTTAAAATTTCAAATTAAGTTTAACCTTCCTAACTGCCACTGCATAATAGTAAAATAATCATGATATTATTGTCACCCATAAAAAGTTTATATGTCTTCAAAAGTGCAATACAATTCACTTTCGAAAATCTAATAACTCAAAAAAGAAACACTCATCCCTCATCCGGATCAGTATTCCTGGAGCTAATTATTACGTATACGATAATATTGCTACATAACCACACGTATACGCATAAAAACTACATCTCCACCTGAGCATTAACATTTCTCTTCATCCCAAGAAATAAACAGGTAACATTAACAATGGGTGAACATTCAACATAATTGCTTAATTAAACAAAATTCGACATCTCGTGCTGGACAAATTGCCACAACACTCAAGTCTCCCTCAATTTAGAAATACTATCAATAATCCTCCCAAAAATCTACTAAATCTCCTCCCATTCTCCACCCGAGCATTAACAGTTCTTGCAATACAAAGAAACAATCAACTAACAAATGGTGAACATCCAACAAAATTGCTTAGTTACAACGAAAATTCAACATCTTGCGCTGCAAAATCTTCCGCAACACCTAATTTCCCTAAATTTGAAACACTACAATAACACACCTAAAAATCAACTAAATTCTCCTCCCATTTCCTTCTAACACCATATCATTCTAACACCAAGTAGTGTCCAATCGAAGAGGAACTCTCAATTAAAAACAGCTCATTCGGAAAATCAGTGATCTGCCCACATAATTACCAACTGAACTTGAACAAAAATACCACAAATCTATAAACATAATCTCTAAAACATACCAGAGGCCGAGGCAGCCAAATCAAACGAGCTGCTGAGCAAGAAAATCACCCAATCAACCCTAAATTCGACGGAGCTTGAATGTCGGAGGATATGAAATCGCAAGATTTAAGGATTTACCAAATGATCCGAGATGATGCGCAAGCGTTGTGATTTGGGGATTTGGGAAAGCAGACACCTTTTGGGGGGTCAGATTGCAAATTTTCAACTCTCTTTTTTCTGTCGTGAATGGCCACAGGCACATAATACGACAGGTGGGCTTTGTTGAATGTTGAGGGTAAAAAGACGACAACTTTTATTATTTTTATTTAGTAATACACGATAAATATAAATTTATAAAGTGTTTTCTCCTTATTGTTTGTATAAAATAATTCATTAAAAGCTAAATAGTACATATATTTAAAAAAAAAAGCTAAATAGTAAATATATTTTAAAAAAATAATATTTTTTAGTATTTAAATACATATCAAATCAGTAAAAGCCCAACAACTTTTACAGTGATTTCAAATTTTGACTTTTCATTAAACATAATAATTTTATATTATTCTATACTTTATAATTTATTTATGATAATTAAATTCATAATTCATTTATGATAATTTGAACATAATTATTTGAGTTAATTTACCGTCCCATTTGCAAAAAGTAAAATGACCAATTATTAATTGAAATATTTATTTATTTAGTAATACAAAATACATAAGGAACTTCATTTAGTCTTTTTATAGATTCTTTTCTTTAAAAGTACATGAATATAAATATAAATATATGGAGTATCTTCTCACTAACAATATATATTTGTTGATGAAAAACTAAATATTTATTAAATACTAAATATAATTTTTTTTAATATTTAAATATAGATAAGAACCCAACAAATTTAATGCTATTATCAAATTTTAACTTATCACTAAACATATAACTACTGTATAATTTATAATTACATTATTTTAACTTAATTTATAATTAACTTATGGCATTGTAATTATAATTAATGTATGTAGGTACCATGAGAATAATAAAATGTTAGATTATTTATTAAAAAAGAATATTTGACTAAATACAAAACTTATAAATAAAATAATCAGATGTGTCTGGAAATATTGTAATACGTATAGACTTAGAAATTCAAAACCATCACAACACAAAAGCTACTCTGAAGAGTCTCACCCAAGTATGGTAAGTAACCTCTTTTCTTCCAGTGTTCATTGCTCGTTTTGCATGAAGTGGACGAAAGAAGTCCCATAATTNCACATCTATAGCTTCGCCCTATCGAACACTCAAGTATTTGAGCATAACAGAGAAAATTCTGTACTGAGTGAAGAAAATCGAGCACTTGAAAACAGCCTCAACCAGACCAAAAACCTCCATAGCATCAAGAATATCATTATCTTACCAATCTCTCACGAATTTTCGAGGGTTAATCAGTAATGGCAGCTTTCAGCTTCTTGTCAAAAGATTTCACTGGACCAGTCTTTTCTGTGATCCATTTTCTCACATTCTTTAAGGTTTGATGATTTTTTCGCCATCACTTTTCAGCTTTTGTAAATTTACGCTTTTTGCTTCCGTTTCTATCGAAATTGTCACCATTCTTATTCTTCCCAGATTTTTTCCTCTTAGCAGAGCCCTGGTGAGCTAGAAATGGAGAAGAACCTGAATTGGTAGAAAAGCCAGAAGAAAGACGAGCGTTGATCTCTTTTCTCATGTCCTTCATCTTTTCGGATTGTGAATTTTGGCGAAGAGTATCCGAGAGAAAAGTTCCACCTCGGGATTTATTCCCATCTTTTGGCCCAAAAGTGTCGTAGAATTCTTTGTAGGCAGATTGTTTTGAGGTTTGCCTCGCTTTCCATTGTTCAGGCCGTTCAGCGAATCTAATTACAACAAGAAAAGGGTATATGAGGAGCTGATATATACACAAAGCAAAAGATGTGTACTACTTCATAACTGGAAAATCAAGTAATGGCGTATAATTACTATTGACATTTGTTACAATTTCACAAATTGTTTACTGTAATTACGCAAAACTTTCAGCCGTAAAGTTTGTAAAGAGACAAAACGACCCTATGATATTATGAGATGTGATTTTTGTAAAGAGATTGTCAATGAAGTTATTGCAAATAGGTTTCAAAACATTAAAGCTGGAAAAGAGCAACCACAAGGACTCATTATTTAAATACTGATTTCAAATTAGTACAATTTATTTACATAGTATTTTTTTTTTTAAATTAGTGGCCAGGTCCTACCACCGTCTAACTACGAACTTTTATGAACTTCACTGTTCACTCGCATGTGATATGGTGAATTTACATTTAATTAATGTCAATAATCAAAAGCAACTGAAAAAAACTACTATATTGTGAGCTTACCCTGCGACATCAATTTTCTTCAAAAGATACGGGCCCTGTTTAGTCTTGGACAGCTCTGCTTGAAAAGGTACAAGTTCTGATACAATTGTCTCTCTCAGGGAGAAATTGCTTGTGTCGAAGCATTTGTCGACTATAAATGAACCAGAAGGAAGAACAGAGATCTCCCCAAAATGTCCTCGGAACCTTCCGTATTTTGTGGAATAGAAAAATAATTGTAATTAGTGTCGAGTATAGCTGCTACAAGTCCTTGAATCTCTTGGAATTGTAGAAATACGAACTACTAGAAATTGGTGTTATGCCTAGATATACACAATAAATGTATAACTTAAGGGTGTGTGTGTTTACAAATTATTTCAACTCATACTAAATTCATACTCAAATCTAACTCAACTTTAACTCAATTCCACTATCCTCAATATTATCAATATAATTAAATAATACCAACCAATCATTCTTACATATCACATCAACTTTAATTCACTATTCATTCACTCAAATAATTTTAACCACTTCATATCATCTCTCTCATACTTTTACATCAAATAAATTTTAATTATTTTATTTTAAATATTATTTTAATATAAACTCAAAATCCCACTAATAACTAATCATACCAACTTTTTAATTAACCATGGCTAACCAAAAAAATTTGTTTTAAGGGGGATATATTTGATACAAACGCGCCCTAAGGGACATTATTTAATGCTATATCAGATCGACGTTTCCGATAATTTACATGCATATATTAATTTCGATCATTGAAAATTTCAGATTTTAGGATTTATTGCAGAAGTTGTTCCCATTAAATGTCAATCTGATTTAAGTTTTCTAGAATCAGAAGCCTGGCCTAAGTTTGTAGAAGACTGAGACTAATCAAGTTGTTCAAAAAAAGAAGGTAAATAAGTAGCCCATCATACTTGACAACCAATTTCTGCTTTTGCTCAGGCGAAGCGTTTGAAATGAGGAAAGCCTCAATAACTCGGGCCCCAGCAGGATCTTTTGATGCTTTAAGAACAAGTTTATCATCCAAAGACGTGATGCTGGTAATATAAGGCTGTATGAATTCCTAAACACAGAAAAAAGTAACAGGTGTCACCACTTCAAACTCCGGAGGTGTAATAATCTAGATTGAACAAGGTCAAAAATTCAAAACACAATAATGAAACAATAAATTATACTATCAGTTGCCAGAAAGAAAAGCAAAATATTAAAGAATCAAATGACATGTCGAGAAAGGTGATACTAAAAATGAAAAAAGAATCAGATACTGAGATATACGATAAGTACTCTAAGTCTAATGCGCACAAAATAATTCTCAAGAGAAAAGTTGCATACTCTTTGAAACTTGAAAACTGCCTGCAGAATCAGAGAACCAAGAACATGTATTTTAGCACTAAACGGCCAATTCCAGTTTGTTTTGTCCGCAGCATAAAAGTAATTGTCGAGAAATAATATCCGAGGGACAATGCATGTGGATGGCTCGTTCACCAAACAAACAGCATCAGCAAGGGCTTGACAACACTGCCAGCAAAACAATGAAAATCCTAGTCAACAAAAAATGGATACACAATAGAAAGAAAGTAAAATTTTATTACAACTGTGAAGGGAAGGGGTTAAACAAAGTTGGGACTAGAGTAATTAAGTACATTCCACCGTCAAATTTGTTCCAGACAACAGAAGCTTTAGCTCACAAAGCTAGAACTTAAAATATATACATATATTCACTTAAAAGGCCGCATTCAGAGGCCAAAAACTGAAGAAACAAGAAAACATACCTTGTGCTCAAGTATCTGAAGCCTTTCACAGGCAGCAATAAGAGCTGCAACAACTCCAGACCTTCCCAGTTCAAGAAGATTCCGAAATTTAGAACTCAGTTCCTCAAAAATCAACTTTATCTGGATTCAGAAAATCAAAGTTTCATGCATTACAGTCAGCGCATGATATGTAAACCAAGTAATAAATGGGGTGTTGTAACAATATAGGTGAACATCTGGTACAAACGTCAAGACTAACCAATATATATTTTTATATGAGATTTTAGAAAAGCACATGCCATTTGGTCAGATTTGATAATTGAATGTCAACCAAATAGGGACAGGGAGA